TTTCCATGCCCCCATGACACTTACAGTCTTGTTAGGAATGGGCATAAATGAAAGAAATGTAACATTTTAACTGTTGTGAATGGTGTGAATGCAGGAAACCTGGCACTATAAGGGTTTTTTGTTCCTAGTTAGGAATAAATGTAGAGCACGTTTAAGGTGTAATTACCATCTGGGTAAAAGTGACAAAACATACAGTCAAGTTTGGATGTGATAAAGCATAATATAAATCTAAATATAGTTAGGAGTCATTGGGTTTTATTGTTAAATCTTTCCATTTATTAGTTTTAACTGCTGAATGGGATTTGCTTCATAAATGTATGTGTGAAGATGACTGTGAAACTCTCACTTATCAGCTGTTAGTTCCCTGAAGACTTGCAAAAGTCCTTTACTCCTTTTTTAAAATCAGTGTTTATAATTTTCTCTAGTAGCAGTAGGTTCTTAGGATATTGGTAACAATTTACTGCTGGGCTAGAGTTTTACAATCAAGGCCTCATTTAGTAAAAGGTAAATCAAATCAAATCACTAAATACCTTCTTGAATTGGAACTTGTCATGCTGCTAACGACTTTGGCCTTTCTAACCTTTCTCTGCTTAACAAGTAAATGTTGGTTTCAGTAAGCTCATACACAGATGTACATATGTGTATGTGTGTATGTAATAAATATGTACTTAGAGATACATATTTCACTGGTATCTCTGATATATTTACACACATATACACAATGTATAATCGGGGTGGGCAAAAGTAGGTTTATAGTTGTGAGGACGTTAAGTTTATTCTTGTATTATTTATTAATTGTAAACCTACTTTTCCCCACCTCTATATATCTATATCAATATGTGTATTCTTCACTTCTGTTTAAAAACGTGATTCTTATACTTCAAAGAGTGATGAAAATCATTACATAAATGACATTACAAGCATGGAAAAAAGACAAATTATTTCTTTCTGTAGTTTGTACAAAAAAACCCAGTTGCTATTATTTTCACATAGAGAACACTTTAGGCATTTTCAAAAGGGGAGGGTTAGAGCAGGCTGGCCACTGGACATGCAGACCAGGTTCTACTACCAAGATACTAGGTCACAGGAGTGGGCTGGTAATTTTAATAAGTTCCATTCTAGCCCAGTGGGTGTGCCGCAGTGGAGCATGGACCTATGAACCAGGAGGTCACAGTTCCATTCCCAGTCTGGACACATGTCTGGGACATGCTAGCTGGATCTCCAGTAGGGGGCATGCAGGAGGCAGCTGATCAATGATTCTCTCTCATTGTTGTTTTTCTCTCTTCTCTTTTCCCTTCCTCTCTGAAATCAATAAAAATAAACTTTAAAAATTCAATTTTAGAGAAATTATTGGATTTTTAAGCTGCAAGTGCCCTAGGGATTTATATTCAAATATCCCAGAAAGGAAACTAATCTCAATAAGTTGGCGTTTTTGGAAGAAAGCGGTTTATACACTTCAGAATTCACGTTTATAGTGCCAAGTAAACTGTACAAAGGTGCTTAAAACACTAACAGTGTCAAAAAAAGGCAAAATAACTTGCTCAGTACAGTAACTTAATTTGGTCCCAGACCTAGACCCTGGGGTCTCCTAAATCGGGTGCAGCTTTTCCGCACCACAGTTCTTGTCCTGCAACTGAAGGTCAGGCTGGATCATTCTTAGTTCCTCCAACAGTGCGCTTCCTCCGGGGTTGGAGTGTTTGATCGGATAGGGCTTAATTCAGATTAAGTTGCCTTCTGCCGCCTTCTTATTTCTTTTGTTTCCACTGCTCTTTGTTTTTATCATCAGCATTGCTGACCTTCTGTTTCAAATAAAAGACACACTCATTTAATAACATCAACAAGGAATTTTAACACCCACCTAAACTGATTGGCCCAGGGGACAGGACACTGCCATTTCCAGCCGGGAAAAGGTGAAGGGGACACACAGCATCTGATGGCCACGTGCGGGAGGAGGGGCCGCCTTTTGGTTGGTGCCCGGAGGGGCTAAATCCCTCCAATCCGCACGAGCCCCGCGGTGGAGGCGGGGGCGCGCTCCGGGGGAGGGCGGGGCCCGCGACCTGT